ACATATATTTCGTAAATTATAACGAATTATGACATATTAAGATTTATATTTATGGCACAAAAGGACTTTTTGCCAGCGCGAGAAGCGAGAAGCAAAGAAAAGGAAACCGCGCACAGGAGGCGACCGCAAGATGAGAGGCGCCTTCTCACCTTCGCGCTGCAGCCTCCTGCGCCTGCTCGAATTTCAGGGCGCAGAGCCTTGGACAACAGGCAAAGGCACTGGCAGGGGCACAGCTGTTGCCTGGGCGAGTCCTTGCGCCGTTTTTGTGTCTCTCGCACAGTTGCCTCGCGCTGCGTATTATGATTTCATATATATATTTTGATTTATTGTTTTGCTTATATTGTTTTGCAATACATTCAGGTATTTCGTATTTCGTATTTCGGTTTCATTTTTTTTTTTTTTGGCAAATGCCTTTCGCCTTTGTTGTCCTTGCGGCGCTTGTCCTTGCTATTGAGTCTGTTCGCTGTGCGGTTTCTGCTTTCTGCAATATTTATGTTAATTTCGACTCCCAACGGTTTCTGCCAAGTCAGTAGCTAATGGCACATCGAATCGTTGACTCTCGCACATCCTGCGTAGAGGCGGCACGAAATATGATCGCATTGTTTGGATATGTTGACTGCATCGCATGTAGAGCTGAATATATTACTTGAATATTATCTAATTTTATTCATGATTATATTTGTAATATATAATTATAGATCTAGGAATTAATAAGCAATTTTATATTAAGAGAGGTTGAGTTTCACTCATTAAATAAAAACAACTCCGTTCACAATTGATCCAGCATCTAGACACCTTGATGTAGTCTAGACAACCACCATTAGCCTCACACTCCAGTTAGTCCAATAAGAAATCATATTGGTTGTGTGTCCGAGCTAAATTCGCTGCGCACAAAAGTAGGCAACATTTTTTAATACGGCATACGCAATGCGCGCAAAAGCAGGCAACAGTTTCTACGCTGCTTGAAATGCGAAGGCAACAATCGGTATTTGGGAAAACTTATATGCCCGTTTGCATATGAAGTGCAGAGAGTTAATCCACCTAGTAACACGCTGCTTACACTATTAGTTTTCCTGCGGGCCTAATCTACAGGGTATCCTTGTGCGTATTGCCTCTGAAGCTTCAAGTCTAATTTCCCATTTTCATAAATTTCAATTTGAACAATGGCTTAGTATTAAATAATTTTTATTTATCATAATTTTATAATATAAACTTTGATCTTTTACAAAAGTGCGTTAATATAAGTATTTAGCGAGATTCGTGCTAAAAAAAAATATATATGTATATATAATAGGGGATAATACACAATATAATAATCATATACATATGTATAGATGTATACATAAATGTTATTAATGAACATGACTTTTCTTATGGCAGGCCGCAGACGCCTTCAAAACTTGCACACACACACATCAAATATATATATTTGTATATAATATAAGATGCCATATAGTATCTGCTACAATGACCTTTCGCTATATATATAGCACTATATAGCAACATTCGCTATATTTCTCGTTCTTCGTCTCCTTCTTCTCCATCTTCTGAGCACAATCAAAAATGTTTGTAGCTTGTCTTTAGAGTTAGCTTTATAGTTAGTTAATTATTTTGCTTGCTTGCTATGAATTGTTGTTGTCGCCTTCAACACTTCTTCAGCTTTCATAAGTTTACAAAATTTGGTGATCTGCAGCTATATAGAAAATCATATAGCTTGTGGTATAACAAAAATGTGAGAAATCAAATGGGGGATTTGTTTTTGACTACTGAGCTGAGGCGTCTACTGTCTACTGTCTACTGTCTACTGCCTGCCGGCGGCTATCGGCTATCGACTGTCGACTGTCGACTGTCGACTGTCTACTGTCGCCTCACTGTGCGCTCCCGCTCCCTGCCGCTCTCCTCGCGCTGCAGACGCGGCGGCGAGTTCTGTCCGCTGGCTGGGGCAGCTCCTCCTCCGGCCCCGCCTCCGGATGCTGAGCCATTCGAAATGCGCGCTTTGCGCGAACGCTTGAACTTGGCCATGTCCTCGCCAAAGACGTCGCCGGTGCGCAGCGCCGAGATCAGATCATCGAATTCGCCCTTGTTGTCGCTCTTGGTCAGCGAATCGCTGCCTGAGCCGCTGCCATTGCTGGCGGACTTCAAGCCCAGATTGCGGGCGACGCTGCTCATGAGTCCGGTTTTGTTTTTGCGCTCGATGGTGCGTTTCTTCAGCTCTGCCTCCTGCTTGGCGCGCTTCTCCTCCTCCTCCTGGCGGCGGCGGAAGCTCTCGTTGTCGTGTCGCGCCTCCGCAAATGCAGCGAGGAACGAATCGAAGATGCCAAAGAATTCGTCCGGCTGCAGCACTGAGCCATCCTCGCCAAAGAGCCGCACAGCCCGATCGAAACGCGTCTTCATGTCCTGGAATTTATCCTCGAGCTCCGCGAATCGCACCGAGGCCTGAGCGTGAAATTCGCGCATCACTGGCAAGAACCGATCGCCCTGCTGTGCCGGGCCGGAGCTGCGATGGAACTCGATTTCACGCGCCACATCTGCCAGGCCCGTGCGCAGCATCTGTATATCCTTGTCCATTTCGCCGAGAGACACCTTGGACGCTTCACGCACATGCGGTATATCGTCCTCCAGCTTGAGCAGATCCTTGAACTTCTTCTCAATCACCTGCACCAGATAGTGCAGCAGTGTGGTGCCCTTGGCAGCGCTCGACTTGGTGTCCGCCAAGCGATTCAACGAGGCCAGCCGGAAGCCTGACGCGTTGCCGCGTGCACCCCGATTCATATAGTTGCCTGGCAACGAGAGAAGCCGCATTAAGATAGAGAAGACCTAAGCTGTAAGCCGATCATACCCAATGCCAGAACCAGCTCGAGCAGCTTGCGCAAGCGCCTCGAGCGTGCCACCTCCCGGGAGGCCTCCATGACGCTGGTGATGCGCGGTATTAGATCGTTCACTGTCAGCATAAAGCGCTTCTTGTAGTGCAAACTCTTCAAGCGCTGCTCATAGTGCGGAATTCTGCAATTGCAGGGGACGAGAGATGCATATAATATTAGCTTTAGCTTTAGCTTTAAAATGGGTAATACAGATAGATAGTGTCATATGAGGGCTATCAGGGAGAAGCTTAATTTGCTCTTTGATCTCTCCTGAACGGAGGCTTCTGTCTAGGTTGATGCAGGGGGATAAGCCACTGTCTACATCTCATGCTCCCACTCACTTGGATATCTCGTAGAGAAAACGATCCGCACGTGCCAGCGACTCAATATCCTCGCTGTGCTCATCCAGCAGCGCACGCTCCTCGGCAGATGGTGTAAACTTGAGCAGCTGCTCGACCATATCCAGCGCCAGCTGCTCATTGCTATCCATGGAGAGTATGGCTCTGTAAGGGAAATTGGACACCGATCAGTCGAAACCCCTGGCCCAGGCGGCATCGCACTCACTTGGATATATCCATGTCGCTCATCTTGAGCTTGCTCAGCAATATCGTGCAGTTCTGGGCGCGCCGTCCATCGATAACGGAGAGCACCTTCTGTTTGTTTTTGCCAGAGACGCGCAAGTCCTCATATGAGCCATCGGTGGTCTGTGAGTGGGAGAGTTCAATAGATTAGTGATCAGTTTCATAGGGAAGGGGCTAAACAGAGGAGATTCCTCCAGGGAATCGCGGACAAAGGGATTTCTTCTCCTTCTACCGTTCTCGCTCATGAGACTGACCGATACGCCGTTCTTCTGATAGGCCGAGAAGAGTTTATCGATGCTCTCGAGCTCCATGTTGTTGTAGAGCTTGCTTTCGTCCAGCTCGCTCCAGACGGTGCCCTGGAGCTTGGCATCGGGCAGCTTGGACCAGTTGAAGCTCTTCAAGGGGTTCGCTGGCTGTGGCACGTTCTTCTTTGGCAACTCCACTTTGGGTGGTGCTGGAGCTGCAAGGCATGATCCACATTAGGTGAGTCTCTCTCCGAGAAGCGGCAAACAATGTCTCCCACTTACCCATTGTTGGCGTCATGCTGGGCGGCGGTGGTGGCGCGCCGGGACAGGGCGGTGGTGGTGGCGGCAACATGGCTGGCGCCATCGGCGGCGGTGGCGGCGGCACCGCCTTTATCGGCGGCGGTGGTGGCGGCGGCGAGACGGCGCCGTTGCAGCCAGTGAGGCCGGCCACCTTTTGGTCGTCGGGTATGCTGCCCTCGGTGACGAGTCGCTCGAGGCGAGCGCGCTCCTGTTGCTCGGATTGCAGACGGTGCTGCAGATCCTCGGCCTTCATCTCGGCGGTCTGAGCGCGCTGCACGGCCTGCGAGTGCTGAGCGGACTCCTTCTCGAGGCGCTCGCGCATGCGCGCTAGGCTCGTCTCGAGGTCCTCCTTCTCCTGCATGCGCAAGTCCAGCTCCTGCTCCTTTTTGGCCAGGCGCGACTGCACCTCAAAGTTCTCGCGCTCCAGCTCGTCGGCTCGCTTGCGCGCCTGCGTCAGCTGCTCCTCCTTGACCAGCAGCCGCACCAGCTTGTTGACGTCGATTTGAAGGGGCGCCACGTCCGGGTCGTGCACGGGCGACTCGCTGGCCAGCTTCAGCTGCTTGCCGGGGTCATCGGGGTCGCTGATCAAGTCGCTGCTCGGACGCTGCTCCACCTGCAGCACAATCTGCTGCACGACGCGGTCAATCAGCAGCCAGTGCTCCGTGCAGTGGCCAGTATCTGGAAGAACAAACAGAAGGGTTCCATCAGCTGTCAAAGAGAGGTGGGCGAGGGGGGGAGGGGGGAGGGGTAGTCACTTACAGGGCAGCAGCAGCATGTGCTGGAGCAGTG